TTTTTTTTTTCTCATAAACTTCCTTGGGTAGTTTTTCAAACAAGCTCGTTGTAATTTTTATTTCAATTAGTTTATCAGCCAATTTGCTTAACATTTTATCATATCAACTACTTTTTAGCCATCTGCCATAAGCTATCAGCTATAAGCTTGAACTTTGTTGATAAAATATCAGTTAGCTTAACAGCATTCAGTTAACTTATCAGTTAGGTTTTATCAAACATAACCTTATAAACTATCAGCTAAACACAACCATAAAAGGGTAAAGCACAAGAAATTAACATTTATTTTTTGAGAAGTCTGTATTCATATATAAGGAGAGATGTGAAAGGATAAATTTTAAGAGTTCTTCAATTTCGTATGAAAATGAAGTAGTTTAATTTTGGCTTTTTGCAGAGTAATTATGGATATAATAATAATAATACAAATGAAAAACAATGTTGTCACCATCTCACATATAGCTCTAGATGTTCCCCTAATGCTCCTATCTATACCAACATATTTAGTTAGTTATTGTAGTTGCCCCTAAGTAGGGCCAGCGATGGGTCAATTCAACTTAAGTAGTCTCGGACGTGGACCTGACTTGTTGCTCCGACGTATCATATGATCCACAACGGGTCCCGTAGATCGAACCAGTGACCTGACTTGTTTCAGGACAGATCTATCTGGCCCTCATTTATTTTATTTTATTTTAATTAATATATATATATGTATTATAATAAAAAAATTATTGAAAAGTAAAATATATATTGAAATATAAAATATTTTAAATATATTACTATGTATTCGGGGAGTGGGGTAAGGGTAGAAAGGCGGGTCGAGGGCAATGCCTAGCATCCGAACATGCCCCATTTTTATTACAAGATGAACCTAACCTTATATATTTTGAAAACAGACCGAGTTCGACTTGCTCCAAAGACGACAAGTCAGGTCAGGCCAGGGCGAACCCAAATCAAATTGACACACTTATCCCTAAGGCTATTACTAATTGGACGAATAATGGGCGAAATTCTTTCAAGTTGGTTGTAATGTATTTCAATATATTAATAAATGTATTCTAGTAATCTCCAACCTTGTTTTAAACGAAATGCAAATTCCAATCAAGCAAATAGAGAATTGAGGTGAATCAAAATGTGAATCCAAATTTTTAAAAATATCTATGGAGAGTGAGAAATTTTATATTATATAATAGGGAGTTACTATACAACCATACAGCTAGATGGCGAGAAATGAACTCTCGTTCGAGTAAAATGAAATAGTTTAACAAAAGAGTTTTTTTCTCAATTATGTCCTTATTAAAAATAATGTTGGTTACTTGATCCGTCACCCTCAACCACAATGATTTGCTGCTGGTGTCGACACCGATAACCCTGTCACAAACTAAATATGAATTATAATGGGATCCTACAAACTGAGGTGTTCAGTTCTTACAACTTGAATTAGAAACGAAAATCAAAGAACAACTTGAAAGAAGAAAGGTTAAGCTGAAGCGATTAAACTCTTTCTTCCAGACAAATATGTTCTGTATAGTGCAATGGGTATGTGCATCTTGTATCTAAAGATACAACTACTAGAGTCTTGAAAGTCTTAGCACACCAAAATTTACAGCTTCCGTGAACATGAACAGAGTCAAGAACTAAGCACTTGTATATAAAATGATGCTTGAGGCTATTTCATAGTAGTATGCAGATGATTAATTTTGTATGTTTGTAGCTCTACTGTGTCCTATTTACACGACTTCCAGCCAAGGTTCTGAAAACTAGACCGGACTGACCGATTCGACCAGTTCAACCGGTAACCGGCCAATATACCGGTTCAGTTTGAGGTATAGAACTAGTAAGGTTCAAAATCGGCTATAAACCGTAATAACTTGTTAATTCAATTACTGATAATCAAGAATTAATTAATTTATTATTATTTCATCGAAGTTAGTGCTCGTTCATCACATACTATGCTTGAATTTAATCTACCTGCAGGGCTAAGCATAATAATCCTTCGTGAACTCACTCCGGGGACATCATCAAACTAATAGTACATGGCGACCGTAAATATCCTAACAACACATCGTACATGCAACAATATTACCAAGACAGTAGGACTATTGATCTAGTTCACTAATCCTCACCATGTGAATAAAATTAATATATATTGTATATATATGTCTGTTAATATCTTGTGGGTTAAGAGAACGCAATAATTAATCGAGGCCTAGTTTATTTACGACGATCAGTATAAAATGATTTGCTCATCTCTGGGACCATGTTCAATACATAAATGTACTAGTGCAACTAATCGGTCAAGACAAACTGTACCGTTGATGCTACGACCGTTCAGATGGGGTGTTAATTTCCATCTAGGTTGTGAACCATAATTCTTGTTTAGCAAGTAACTGATAGAATGATCTTCGGTTCGCCCGATGACGACCCACACTATCTAATTGCAAAACAACATAACATAGAACTTGTTTAATCTAACATGATTCACATTCATAAAGGGCAAAACTGTAATATCATCCAAAACCAAACTTTCATTATATAACACTAACAACGGTTACATTGGAGAGCCTATACCCCTGACACCTGATATCTGAGATGTCGCAGATGCTGGAGGTCGTACGGACGGGCAACAAAGGCAGTAGGTCAATTCTCCAAGTAAACTTGGAGAACAAGACACCACTTACCTATATAAAGGGAGGTGGTACGTTAGTTTTAGGGTTACATTCTCTACACACTTTTATACACTTCTTTACTATTGATCACCTCTGGAGTAATACTGGCTCAGGCATCAGAGGCTCTTCATCGAAAAACCCCAATTCCGGCGTTGAGTTCTTCCAGCTGTGAAGCCACGCGAGGTCGAGCCATAATTCTTGTTTAGCAAGTAACTGATAGAATAATCTTCGGTTCGCCCGATGACGACCCACACTATCTAATTGCAAAACAACATAACATAGGACTTGTTTAATCTAACATGATTCACATTCATAAAGGGCAAAATTGTATATCATCCAAAACCAAACTTTCATTATATAACACTAACAACGGTTACATTGGAGAGCCTATACCCCTGACACCTGACATCTGAGATGTCGCAGATGCTGGAGGTCGTACGGATGGGCAACAAAGGCAGCTAGGTCAATTCTCCAAGTAAACTTGGAGAACAAGACACCACTTACCTATATAAATGGAGGTGGTACGTTAGTTTTAGGGTTACATTCTCTACACACTTTTATACACTTCTTTACTATTGATCACCTCTGGAGTAATACTGACTCAGGCATCAGAGGCTCTTCATCGAAAAACCCCAAATCCGGTGTTGAGTTCTTCCAGCTGTGAAGCCACGCGAGGTCGAGCCAGAAGTTACTAAAGTGAAGAAGCTATTCTACGTTACATTAGTCCGAACCGGGACTGGGTGGAGTCTATTTCATTACTAAAGTTTATAATATTAATTAAACGGATTAAACAATTGGCCCCACCAATGAACTATTGAACCAATAGCTTAACCAGTTTGACGACTTCTTAGGTTTTCATAACCTTGCTTCCAACCATATAGGGGATGACCAAACAAAGGTCAGCTGCCACTAAAGGCATGTAACAACCCAGTCATGGTTGTTTAATAGACATAAAATATTCTAGAGCCATTTTTCAGGTGTTAACTCACCTTCACTCCACCTCATAACCATAAAAACGGTCAGGTGGAATATCACACACGTCCAGATTTATTGAACCTACTGAATGACACATGAGTTGGTCAAAACCCTAATCCATATTAACTCGATATGGATTTCATTTTGGGCCACAATATTGCAAATAAATTTGCAACAAAAAGATTATAGGGGTTGGGCTTAAGGCCTAAGCCCAGCACCAAGCCCAACACCGGCCAGACCGTCCAAGGCCGACCAAGTTCAGCACATAGTCCAATTGCCATGTACCAAGTACCAGGGACCAAGGCCCAAGTCCTAAGTCCTCCAGACCCTGGCCTAGGTACGAGCCCCATCCAAGCCGTTCGGCAGGGGGCGCACTTGTGTGACAGAAGCCTTCACCAACACTTGGTGCATATCTTTGTTGTTGTTGTGACCTCTCCAACTCGGACATGCGAGCCAGAGCTGGGCTGGCCGGCAGGGGGCGCGCGCTTGTGGCCGAAACTATCACCAACACGTGCGACCACTTTTGCCATGTCCTGCCACACGTAGATGCTGCAGGCCTGTCTCGCCGTGACCGCGATCGGTCAGGGCCCGGACTGACTCTTGTTCGGCTCAGTCGGATCATCTTCGCCAGCACCGTTGCCATCTACTAGATCGCCACTGCGAGGACGACGATCCTTCCGTCGGTGTCCAGCTTGGACCATGCAACCGCGATTGGCGGATCAAGAAAAATATAGGGCCCCGGCAATCAATGGCGCTGCCGTTCTCGGGCGGTGACGACAAATGACTCGATAGAGGCTTTCGGTGGCCTTGGCGAACCTATGTGCGGCGCCGTGAGGAGGTCGGAGAAGTGTGAGGCTATACGAGAGAGAGAGAGAGAGAGAGAGAGAGAGAGAGAGAGAGAGAGAGAGAGAGAGATCTGGTTGTTGGGGGTGGAACCCATTAGTAGTTAAGAAAATGTCCACACTAACTTGATGTAAAAATATTTTTTTGATTATCATAAAAATGGTTAAAATTTTTTCTTACTTCTTTGACTTATTCTCACCATAACTATTCCTATACATGTATAGAAAGACAATTTACGAACATTAAAAAAATGAGATACAATGTTTAATATTTGGAATCGTTGGGTTATTGTATGAGAATCCAGAAATTAATAAATAGACAAATTTGTAGGTATGAACCTACTCAGTCGCACATTGGTTGCCAACGGTCCAAAACACCTCACACACCGCACCCGACCACCTAAATAAATCATTTTCATCTTTATCTATAAACGCACACAACGGACAGCACACTCCTATACTCTCTCTCTCTCTCTCTCTCTCTCTCTCTCTCATTTTCGAAATCGAGGATGGAGCCCGTGTTGGATCTACCACCGTTACCCGACCAACAAACGGCGGTCGTCCCCGACGCCGTCACCGCCCCCGCCGCCGCCATCCTCACCCCCGCCCAATCTTACGCCCACAACCACCCACCTTACGCTGAGGTACTCGAATACTTCTTCCAGTGGCCCAGAAAGGAGGGGGAATTAAGAAAGAACAGCCTAAAGAAACCTCCCATCTTTTGTTCTTCATACTCCTGTGAAGTTATGGTGTTCTTCTTTTGTTCAATTTTTTTAATTTTGATTTTATTTGGTGTCTTTCGCAGATGATAAGAGCGGCGATTTCGGCGTTGAAGGAGCCAAACGGATCGAGCAAGAAGGCCATAGCTAAGTACATAGGGGATCACTACACTGACCTGCCGTCGACGCATGAGGCTCTGCTGACTCACCATCTCAAGCAGTTGAAAATCAATGGTCAGCTCCTCATGGTCAAATACTCCTACAAGCTCCCTGGATCTGCTCCCCCTCCCATCCCTGCTCCCATCAACGGCGCTGTTAACGCCGTTAGTCCTGACCCAGCCTCAAAGAGACGGCCAGGGCGCCCTCCCAAGCCCAAGCCCATGCCTGACGCCGCCCAAGTTGTTGTGCCTGTTTTCCATCCAGATACAAATTCTATACAGTTTGGCACCGAGCCACACCCACAGCCTTATGTGGCATCCGGACCCATTAATGGACAAGAAGCTGCTGTTGTGAAACCCCTGAGGGGCCGTGGACGCCCACCTAAGCTGCACGGGCTGAAGCGGCAGCCTGGACGCCCACCCAAGGCTGGTGGGACAAGTGGTGGTGTGGCCATAGGCAGAGGCAGGCCCAGGCTTGCAGCACCTCCAGTCCAGGTGAGGAAGGGATCCGGGAGGCCACGTGGAAGGCCTCCGAAGCCGATTAATGTGGTCCAGGGCTTGGGTTTGGGAGTGGGTGTCCCGGGCAGTGGGGTGCCAGCTGGCCTTGGTGTGACTGCCACAGTCAGCGGTGGAGTTGGGCCCATGAAGCGTGGCCGAGGGCGGCCTCCCAAGGCCGGTGGTGTGGCAAAGAGGGCAAGGAATCTGAGTGCTGTGAGGCCTAAGAAGCTCCGGAAGCTGTCTGGTAAGCCTGTGGGCCGGCCTAAAAAGGTGAGGACACTAAACTCATTTCATAAGAATTATCAGTAAACTTCATTCTTCTCTTATTTGCTACTGAAATTTGGGTGGGTAATTGGTAGTAATATAATGGCCTGCAATTACAACTTGAAATTGGGGTATTCTCTTTAGAATAATTCGTAAATTACTGAGTTGACTAGCGTCTTTTTCCTGTGATTTTTGGGTGATGAATGCTATACAATTTGAATATGTTGCATACTTGATAATATTACATAATTGTAAAGTGCTCTGTACTGGACGATTAAATGGAATTCTAACACTTTTTCAATGCTTAAAAAATAAAATACAAAACAATATATATATATACACGCACACACACGCACACGTGCGTGTGAGTGAATGTGTATCAATGCACTGAGCTACAGTGGTGGCGTCCTTTTATTATAACTTCATATATGTAGCGACCATTTAGTTTAACAAATCGACTCCACATTACACGATAACATGTGGGGACAAACCTGAGCTGTGTATGAATCTGCAAATGTGTTAAGGTGTGAATTTTCATCTCTTTATACATTTTTAGGTTGTAGCATGACTTTTGCAGGTAGATTGCAGAAACCTCTTTTTTTCTTTTCTTTGTCATTTATGGTAAAATTCATTGTATTTAGTATTCCTTTCCTGAAACTAGGGAAAATGTAATTCTTTCTAAACTCTAGCTAAGAATGTATTTTGTTAAAAAATAAGATATCTGAAAAAGGCTAGACGAATGCACAAATATACTGAAGAACGTGAAATGTTGATGATGTTTTTTAAGAGAGTGATCAAGTAAAGAAGGATTGATGAAAGCAAATTATTAATTAGTTCAAACCTAATATGTTATATCAAAAAATGAAAAGGAAATTCTCTAATGCTACTAATGCAAGAGCCATAAGTATGTTTTAGTGGTCCTAGAATTGATGCATATCAACATGTTGGCATGTTTTCATGTCATCTATTTGTTTATCAGATGTTCACATACAAAAAGTTAGATTTGAAAATCTCACCCAAGTTTGAGGATTAGCTTCTAGCGGGAAGAATCTTATGTTTTTATGGATTGTATTATCTTTTGTATGATATAGGATAGAAAGTTATTTGTCCTGTTATTTCATAAACTTTTGCCAATGTAAAATTATGTGTGCAAATTTATTATTAAGTGTAAAGGAAGTAATGTATTTACAATTTGAAAAAGGCAGATTGTTTCTGTTCCCGGATGCATTTAGAAGAATTACCAAATGATAATAAAAGACACATGAACTATTGAACGAAATAAAAGTAATGTTTTCTTTTTTATATTGATATCAAAGTTTGATTGGATCTTCTGAACAAACATACGACTTGTATGCTGGCCTTTCAGTTTAAATATTTATTCATGCTTTCTGCTCATAACTTCATAACAAAGACTCAAGCATTATCTTGTGACTTGGAACTTATATCATGGATTTTGTATGTTCCATGACATGGCTCTCTTACTCCTACTAGTATGTCTTTTACTTGGAAGTTTGAGTGGATTTCATAAATGTAGTTCTTGTTATACTGAAGCCATTTCCAGTTAATTGTTTTTGGGTGATTTTACAGCGGGCCTAAAATTAAGTCATTTGATTGAATTCAATATTTTCTTGTTGGCCAATTCTCTTAGATTTTATATTTCTCTTTTGTCCATTGCTTCCTTTTTCGTTTTCTGCAGTTTTGCTCAAGAATATTCATTCCATTGATATCTTATTTTACTCTTCCTAAGATGTTCATTCCGTTGATATCTTTTTCTTTTCCTGTAGTGTTTTTATGTGTCCCTATATACTTGTTTTAAGAATGGTTCACATTAAATCGAATCCACAAACACACAAGCACTAGTATATATACGTGTGCGTATCACGTGTGAGTTCGAGTTGATTTTGGATATGTCTGTACTATGTTCACTTGCATTATAATAGTTTCCTGAAAAGTATTTGTCCTATTCAGATCTTTCTAATCCACACCATATTTACATTACCAAATCTATACCATATATATACATGAATAATCCCCCTGAAGTTGAAGCATCTATATCAATAATGCCCAATTTTTGTACTAATGTTATTCATTCGTACCCTTTAGTGAATGCAATCTCTAAGATAGTCTTCTTATTAATACATCTTGTAGAAATGAATCGTTCTTCTCTGTCATGAACAAAATGACAATCTACCTTGATATGTTCGGTTCGTTCTTGAAATACCAGATTCGATGCATTGATATGTAGTGCTGCTTGGATGTCACCACCAAAGTTTTTCAGGAATATTAAGCTCTAAGTCTAGCTCATTTAGCAACTGATGTATCCATACTCACACATTGAATCACATTGAATCGACTGAATCAGCCAAAATATTTAGCTACTATTTAGCTACTGATGTATCCATACTCGCAATTGAATCAACTGAATCAGCCCAACCTATTTAGCTACTTAGCTACTGCATACTCGCACATTGAATCAACTGAATCAGCCAAACCTATCAGCAATTGAACGAAAAACGTCTTGTTTCTTGCTTGTCCCATGAGATTAGATTTCCCCCCATTTTAATTTTCTATCATCATCTTTGTAACAGTGTTACCATCACAATATTTTCAATTTGACTTGGTTAAGCATTCTACTTATACTTAAGGAATCACCATTAGGTAACACAAAATTTCACCAGAGAAGCCCAATGACAATTGGTCAGAGGAGACATAAACCGACTCCCTACACCAACTGCAAATGCTATGTCACAACGTGTTAAAGTGAGTGAATTCAGCTTTCCTACATGTCTTTGATACCACTCAAGATCATGGAATAGCTTACCATCATCTTTTCCTCGTATATTGGGACTTATCGCAGTCTGCACACGACTTATCACCTATTTTCTAGGTAAAGGTTGAACACATAGATTCCTTTCTTGATTCTCATTAGCTAGAAAATTTTCAAATATCCCGAATCTTTCGTTTAAAAATGTGCATGAAGAGCTAAATTTGAAATCCCATCACTATTATTTCCTATAATATGATATCATCAATATACATAGCTAGCTAAACGAATTCACAAGTAGCAGCGATGTATACGGAATGATTAGATTTTCATTTTATTAAACCATATCCAAAATGATTGGATTGAACCAATGAAACCAAGCTCGAGGACTTTACTTCAACCTGTACGAGCATTTATGAAGCCAACATACCTTCCCTCGCTCCCCCAAGCACCGAAGCCAAGCGATTGGTGCATACAACCTCTTGCTAAAGAAAGTTTGGTAGAATTATCATTTTTAATATTAAGCCGGTGAAGAGGACCAGAATGGCTGCTAGGCATATGAGTAGTCAAATAGAAGAGTTTCTCCAACGCAGAGAAAGTTCTAAACTAATTAATGCCACAAGTCTGAGCATAATCTTTAGCAACCAAACGAGTCTTAAGGCGAGCCTTTTGAATTTACTATAACTGTTAATACCCACTTACATTCAATTTGGCAGGACAACTAGTAATTCATCCAAAGTCCACGTACCATTATTCTTTTCCTCATGCTTTATTAACAATTTTAGGAATAGAGATGGAATCATTGTTTGCTATAGAGGAACTTGAAGAAGTTGACAAATGATCATAGGAAACAAAAACTTGAAGAAGTTGACAAGCGATCTTCCTAAAGAAAGTTTGGTAGAATTATCATTTTTAATATTAAGCCGATGAAGAGGACCAGAATGGGCTGCTAGGCATATGAGTAGTCAAATAGAAGTAAGTTTCTCCAACGCAGAGAAAGTTCTAAACTAATTAATGCCACAAGTCTGAGCATAATCTTTAGCAACCAAACGAGCCTTAAGGCGAGCCTTTTGAATTTACTATAACGGTTAATACCCACTTACATTCAATTTGGCAGGACAACTAGTAATTCATCCAAAGTCCACGTACCATTATTCTTTTCCTCATGCTTTATTAACAATTTTAGGAATAGAGATGGAATCATCATTGTTTGCTAGAGGAACTTGAAGAAGTTGACAAATGATCATAGGAAACAAAAACTTGAAGAAGTTGACAAATGATCATCGGAAACAACATAGACAATTGGACATGTGCTTCAATGATCACATCACATCACAGGAACAACATGGACAAGTGGATACCTTTTCGGAGAGCAAGGTCAGCTGTTTTAGGTGGTTCGGAGACTGGTTAGCTAGATGTAAGATCTTCTATTGAAGCATAGGCCAAGGACATGAATATGAATTATTAGTCGGAATCTCTAAATTTAAATGTGGGCATCAAATAATAGGGGATGAGTACTTCAATGAACATAGGAAACATCATAGACAACTGGATTTGTACACCATTTTCGAGAGCAAGGTCAGCGGTTTTAGATGTAAGATCTTATATAGAAACAGTAGGCCAAGGACACGGATATGAATAATTAGTCGGAATCTCTTAAGTGTTGGGGCATCAAGTAGGCCAAGGACATGAATATGAATAGGTCATGGATAGGGGGATGGATGACTGTTGGGGTTAAATGGGGGGTCTTTGAGGATGCTTAGGTACTGGAATAGATTATACCAAAAAATGTCATCCTTCTGACGACGAATACGAACACGGGAGTAGGAAAAAATAGAAAAAGGCAGTAGCAGGGATAGAACACGGGAGTACGTGAGTAGGAAAAAATAGAAAAAGGTCAAGGACATGGATATGAATTATTAGTCGGAATCTCTTAAGTGTTGGGGCATCAAGTAGGCCAAGGACCTGAATATGAATAGGTCATGGATAGGGGGATGGATTACTGTTGGGTTAGATGGGGGGCCTTTGAGGATGCTTAGGTATTGGAATAGATTATACCAAAATGTCATCCTTCTGACGATGAAATTGACGATGAAATACGAACACGGGAGTAGGAAAAAATAGAAAAAGGCAGTAGCAGGGATAGAACACGGGAGTAAACACGGGAGTAGGAAAAAGCAGAAAAAGGCACTAGCAGCGATATCCCTTTTGCACACGGAGTACCCCAAAATGTTGAAGTCTATTCTAGTATCCCAAACAAAGCTTGTATGAAAATTTGGGG